GAAGCAAAGCTGGCACAACTGGGGGCCGAAGTCACACCGGCCAGCCGGTTTGGTACAGCTGATGCGCCGCGATGGCGGTTGCCGACGGGAACTGGCGAGCGCGTGTTGAATGCCGCGCACGCATTGCCAGACGAGTCGAGAATGGCCCGGTACACCGCAGGAAGCCTGAAGGCCCCAACTTGCACTGTTTTTTATAAAGGGTGGTTTGGATGGGCGGGCGCGGGGCGTGCGCCGCATCCCATTCCTGCCAAGCATTTTGCGACGTGGACGACAGGACGTCCATGCTGAGAGGAAAAACGTTGGTGCGCGGCGCCGAGGCGAGAGCGACATGTCACCCCTTCGCGCGGGGTGTGCGCCGCGTCCCATTCCTGCCACGCATTTGCGACGTGACGACAGCACGACCATGTTGACAAGAAAAACAAAACTGTGTATTGTCTTCTGCAGATTAGAATGGGACGGATTGGATGGGCGGGCGCGGGGTGTGCGCCGCGTCCCATTCCTGCCATGCATTTTGCGACGTGGACGACAGGACGTCCATGCGACGGTGCCAATGACGGCGACGACTCTGGAAGGATTTGAGCATGCGCTCGCGGCGACGCGCGCGCATGTCGCCCGCGTGGTATTTTTTGCACAGGGTTCGCGGCCTGGGTGCATGACAGAGCATCGCGAGTGCACCGCGCGATGACGTGAAATCGCTGGATTTGACCGAATTCTTAAGATTCCTATGGTTTTCCTATGATTTCAGCAAGAGAGCCCGGGCGGGAAATTTGTACAATTTTTGTGAAAAAAAACATTGGGTTTTTGATGTTTTTATGTTGAAATGCTTGCAAACACACGGTGTTCGGTAGGATTCTGACATGAACGCGCGCGTGTGCTCTTTGTGGTATTTTTTGCAATGGATTATCGCCGTGGACGACAGGACGTCCATGTCGAGAGGAAAAAATAAGAAAAATGTTGATTTTGTATTGTTTTTTACTGGTTAGGATGGGACCACCCGGATGGGGCCCCTATCTGCCGGCCTGAGGGGGGAGTAGGAGTATATTCTAATAAGGAATAAGGATAGGACTGGTAGTGGCAGTCGTAGTCGTAGTCGTAGTCGCACTCGTAGCCTTAGTCTTAGTCGTAGAAGTAGAAGTAGAAGTAGAAGGAGATGCAGAAGTAGAAGTAATAGCAGTAGAAGTAGTGGTAGTAGCAGTAGCAGCGGTAATGATAGTAGTAGTAGTAGTAGTAGTAGTAGTAGTAGTAGTAGTAGTAGTAATAGTAGTAGTAATAGTAGTAGTAGTAGTAGTCGTAGTAGTAGTAGTAGTAGTAGTAGTAGTAGTAGTAGTAGTAGTAGTAGTAGTAGTGTAGTAGTAGTAGTAGTAGTAGTAGTAGTAGATAGAAGTAGAAGTAGTAGTAGTAGTAGTAGTAGCGGTGGTGGTGGTGGTTGGTGGTGGTGGTGGTGGGTGGTGGTGGGTGGTTGGTGGGTGGTGGTGGCGTAGTAGCAGTAGTTAGTAGTGGTAGCAGTAGTAGTAGTAGTTAGTAGTAGTAGTGTAGTAGTAGTGTAGTAGGTGTAGTAGTAGTAGTAGTAGTAGTAGTCTAGTAGTAGTAGTAGTAGTAGTAGTAGTAGTTAGTAGTAGTAGTAGTAGTAGTGGCAGTAGTAGTAGTTGCCGTAGAGGTAGTAGTAGTAGTAGTAGTAGTAGCAGCAGTAGTAGTAGTAGAAGTAGTAGCACTAGTAGTAGTAGTAGTAGTAGTAGTAGTAGAAGTAGTGGTAGTAGTAGTAGTAGTAGTAGCAGTAGTAGTAGTAGCAGTACTAGTAGTAGTAGTAGTACGAGTAGTAGTAGTAGTAGTAGCAGCAGTAGTAGTAGTAGTAGTAGTACTAGTAGTTTGTGTTGTTGTTCTAGTACGCGTAGTCGTAGTCGAGGCCGTAGCCGTAGTAGTGTTAGTAGTAGTCGTAGTAGTAGCAGCAGCAGTAGTCGTAGTAGCCGTGGTGGGAGCAGTAGCAGGAGTAGCAGTAGTAGTAGTAGTAGTAGTAGAAGTGGTAGTAGTAGGAGTAGTAGTAGGTAGTAGTAGTAGTAGCAGTAGTAGTAGTAGTAGTAGTATGAGTAGGGGTAGCAGTAGTAGTGGCAGTGGTAATGGTTGTCGCAGTCGTAGTCGTAGTTGCACTCGTAGTTTCAGTCGTAGTCGTAGCCGTAGTCGTAGAAGTAGAAGTAGGAGTAGCAGTAGTAGTAGTAGTAGTAGTAGTAGTAGTGATAGTAGCAGTCGTAGTGGTAGGAGTAAGTAGGAGTAGTAGCAGTATTGGTAGTATTGGTTGTAGTAGTAGTAGTAGTAGCAGTAGTAATAGTGGTAGTAGTAGTAGTAGTAGTAGTAGTAGTAGCAGTAGCAGTAATAGTAGTAGTCGCCGT